CAGTATATTTCAATATCCAGGGTGGGAGAAAGAATTCTTGTCTGCTTGGGTCAAATGTGAACATTGCAATTGGCCATCTTGATTAGCATGTAATAACCTTGCAGCTTCAAAGCCTTGCTGATTGCTGCCTGGGGGAATCCTTTGTTTGGAGATTTAGCTGGCCCTGATTGATTCTTGTCTGGAATTCCCCTGGATTTTTAGTGTTGCTCTTTATTACTGTCCTGATTTTAGAGGTTTTTTTTTAAAAAAACTAGTAGCCATATTTTGTTCATTTTCATTGTTTCCTCCTTTTTGTTGAAATTGTCCACATGCTTGTGGATTTCACATACTTGAAGCTGCAAGGCAATTAAATTCCAATCAAAGTGGCCAATTACAACATTCACATTTGCCTCAAGCAGACAAGAGTTCTTTCTCCCACCCTGGACATTCCACAGATATAAAAACGCCACTTGCCTAGTTTCCAACAGACCTCTCAACCTCTGAGGATGCCTCCCATAGATGTGAGTGAAACGTCAGGAGAGAATGCTTCTGGAACATGTCTATACAGCCTGGAAAACTCACAGCAACCCAGTGATTCCAGACATGAAAGCCTTTGACAACACACATATATAGCACTTTTGGATTAGCTTCCGCTCGCCGGGCACGGATCCTGTTATCTGTGGTTCTAGCTAACCACTACACTGTAGTATCCAATATCTAGCCAAGATTTTATTCTTAATGTAAAAACTAAACAAACACATCCATCTCATTAGCAGGCAAATTTGCTTTCATCTTTTATAAACGGAAGAATTAAATGTATACCAAAGGATTACTTTAAAATAAATTTCTTTAAGACTTATTATCAGTAAATGTTTGATTTGTATGCCTATTCTATATACCTATATATCTGGGGTTGCATAAAAAAATTCTCACTGGTGGAATAACGTTTAAGAAACCTTGGCTTTGACCTCTAGTTTGGTGATAGAACTGATTTACCATGTCACAAAATGATGCAAGTCTTAAAAGCGTGTCACCAAAATGAGAAGTTTGGAAAGCTTTATCCCAGAGAGTGACTGGCATTTTGGAACAGAATGAGTGCAGCTTTCTGAGATTGCTGGGTGAGGGCAGATGTGGTTTCCAAGCCGTCACTTAGAAGCCTATTTTGCATAAACATTAAAATAATCAGAAGTTCTTCTGTTTACTCATGCTTGATTCCTACTCCAGCCCACAGACATCCTTTGTTGTTTGGAGGGGCTGCTTTTGTGTTAGAGTAGTGCCGAAGGAAAGAAAGAAAGAAAGAAAGAAAGAAAGAAAGAAAGAAAGAAAGAAAGAAAGGGAAAGAAAGAAACTTATTTTACTCTTAAAACCAAATCGGGTCCCTTCCACACAGCTGAATAAAATCCCACATTATCTGCTTTGAACTGGAATATATGGAAGTGTGGATTCAGATATCCCAGTTCAAAGCAGATTTTGTGGGATTTTCTGCCTTGATATTCTGGGTTATGTGGCTGTGTGGAAGGGCCCTGGGTTTCATTTAGCTAAACAGCATCAGATGAGAACTAGCTGATAATGACATTTTTATGCTGATGATGCTGTTCCTTGCTGGGAAATACCCTTCTAGTGCTGGTAAAAGAGAGGTTACGAGAATATCTTCTCTAAATAGTTCATATACTGTACATATAGATGCATCAATTTCTGTATGAATTAACATATATAGATGCCCTCTAAAAATAAAGTAGACGATAGGAAGCATTATTTAAAAGGGCAAGGTTGCTTGAACTAGGTGACAGTCCTGTATATACAAGGTTTAAATGAAAAGTAATGCCTCCACCTTCGTAACTCCTCAACAGATGGCAGTACTGGTTTTCGGCAGGTACTGGCTTGTTTAGTAGACTCTCCTTTACAATTCCATTTCGGCGGGAATCCTTAGTATTAAATGGTTGTGTTGTTAAAGTGCAAAATATGGAACCCTGTGCAGATGGTCAGTCAATGTGACTTAAGCAACATGCAGTCATTGAATTCTTGACAGCAGAAGGTGTCACCCCAAAGGAAATTAATCAGAGAATGCAAGCTGTTTATGGTGATTGTGTTGATGTGAGTACTGTGCGTCATTGGGCAAGTAAGTTTAAAGATGATGAGGTGGGAACATCTGACCTGCATGACAAACAAAGAGTTGGACGTCCTGTGACAGCAACCACCGAGTTTCACAAGCAAAAGGTTGACAGATTGATTCAGGACAATCATCATATTACTCAGAGAGAAATTTCAAGCATAATCAGCATTTCACAAGAACGTGTGGGTCACATTAATGCTTTGCTTGGCTATCGGAAGATCTGTGCAGGATGGGAGAACTGTGAGATGCTGGTTACGGAAACAGAGTGTCGACTTCTTCTGTGGCAGCTTCAGAAAACTTGTTCATCATTGGCAAAAATGTATACAATTGTCTGGTGATTATTTGGAAAAGTGAATAGTGTCATTAAAGAGCACCTTCTAAGGATTATTTCTGTGTTTGTTTTATTAAAATATTCCCATCCAAACCCAAGTAACGAAGGTGGAGGCATTACTTTTCATTCAACTGTCGTATATTCCTTAGAAAAGTCAGACTATGTGATATAAAATGGTTAATTCTTTACCAGAATAACCTTTTTATAAAAGTAATTTTATTCAAGAAAGAAGGAACATAATGGCAATAATGATACAAATCAGCAAGATTTTGTGATACTAAAATGACACAGTATAGTATTATACATATCCACCCAAAACATGATGTTTCCATTTTCTGCCCCTTGCCCAGGAGCAAATTGAGATAAGAAATCTAGTAGCTTGCTGTGCCTTGTAGGCCCAATCTACACTGCCATATAATGCAGTTACAGAACGCAGATCAACTCCATTGAACTGATTTAAATGGCAGTGTAAGGTAAAGGTAAAGGTTTCCCCTGACATTACGTCTAGTCGTGTCCAACTTTGGGGGGGGGGGTGAAGCTGAAGAGCCGGCATTGTTCGTAGACACCTCCAAGGTCATGTGGCCAGTATGACTGCATGGAGCACCAATACCTTCCTGCTGAAGTGGTACCTATTGATCTACTCACATTTGGAGCTCACCCTGCTCCAATGAATTTGAACTGCTGACCTTTTGGTCAGCAAGTTCAGCAGCTCAGTGGTTTAACCTGCTACCCCACAGGGGGCTTCAAATGGCAATATAGACGCATGTAATCCAGATCAATGTATCTAATCTGCATTCTGAAGCTACGTGATATGGTCACTGTAGCTGGAGCCATAGTTTTGTGATTCAACTTAATGGGTTTTACAATCCTTGACGCCAGTAATTTAGGCCCCTTCTACACTGCCATATAAAATCCATATTATCTGCTTTGAACTGGATTATATGGCAGTGTAGACTCATATAATCCAGTTCAAAGCAGATAGTGTGGAATATTTAGTTTCAGTCTGATGAAATTGCAGTAATTCAAATGAATTCCTTGAAAAGTTTGAATCTTCTATTTCCTTTTGGGAACTCTTCCAGAAAGCAGAATGCAGCACAAAGAATGATAAGAAACAATACTCTCAAAAGGTAAGAAAAAAGAGGCATCTGCTTTGCTGCTTTATCATTTTGCCTATGCAACATTTTAAACCATAGTAAAGAAGACAAGATCCCTAATAGGTATAACCTTTGTCTGATAGCAAGAGCTCATTATCATCATCATTATTAATGTATCCAAATGGGTAGTTGCTTTAAATATCTTTCTTGCTCTTGGGTTTTGCGATGTGATGCGTCACTCTTTCTCCTGCCAGGAAGGAAATTCCCAAGACAAAATGAAAACCAGAAAACTGCTTATTTAGCTCAGAAAACATGGCTCAGGGAAGCAACCATTGGACTTTAGTGTAAAGTGTTATTTATTTCATGTTACAGGAAATGGGAGCTGCCAAAACAAACTGCAAAGAAGAAAAACAAATGGGTAGAGTAACTCATTATTTTCCAAAAATATACAAACGTATTCTAGAGTTAAAACAATAAACAGAAGGTGGAGACAGGCAATTCTATTTCCATTCTTCCTGCTCAGTCTTGAAGGTAAGTTGAAAGAGAAACACTTAAGTATCTGTTGTTGTCATCCTATTTTGTTTCCATTAGCTGTGCTGATTACAATACATACTTATAGTTTCTTTTTCTGTGGAAGATCACATTTCTTGCGACATTACTTTCCCAGAGATTTAGGGTGCGTCATCTACATTACATAATTAATGCAGTTTGACACTTTAACTGTCATGGCTCAACGCAGTAGAATCCTGGGAATTGTAGTTTTACACGGTCTCCTCTGTCAAAATAGTGCAGTCAAATTGTATTAAATTGTGTAGACAAACTCAGTTATAATTCCTTGAAAGGCCGATTTGGCCTCTCTTTACCCCAATCTCATGTGACTCTTGGCTTTTAAAAAATGTCATGTTTTCTAGGCAAAATGGTTATTCACATGGTTTCAAAAACAAAAAAATTGAAATTATGCTTCAGGCCAAGGATAGTGAATGTGGTTTCATGTTTGTCAGACAACCAATCAGCACTCAATGAAGCCAACTAGGATGCCAAAAAGTTACTTCATAATTGCCATTAGAGACAATCAGCTTCTTTTTGTGATTAAGAAATCCTATTTGCTCCTGAGTTTGATTATCTGGGGCCCCTTCCACACAGCTGAATAAAATCCCACATTATCTGCTTTGAATTGGATTATATGGCAGTGTAGACACAGATAACTCATTTCAAAGCAGGTATTTTGGGATTTTCTGCCTTGATATTCTGGGTTATATGGCTGTGTGGAAGGGCTCTGGGCTAGATGTTGAAAATATAGTCAAAGAGTTGAACATATCAGGGTCACCACATAAACCACTGACCACTTGGATCAGGGCTGTCAAACTTATTTTTACTGAGGATGACATCAATGTTATGCTTGCTTCAAAGGGTCATTGATTCCATGGGCAGAGAATCTGTGTATACAGAGGGCTAACTATAATTTGTTAACATAATAGCCAGTGCTCTTTAGATTTTACCCAATTTTGGTCTCCAGGTGTTACGGAATAACAACTGCCATCACTTTTGATTATCCACCACACAGACTGGGAATAACAAGACTTGTAACCCAACGTCATATCTACAAGCCTTGTACCTAAATTCAAACCCTACTATCCTGACTAAACAGAACAAATTGCAGCCTTCCAGATGTGATTGTATCACAACTCCAATCAACGGTGCTCATGATTCCTAGTGATGAAGAACACAGGCATTGTAGTCCCATGGAGGATTATATAAAATGACATGGTGGGACAGATTCGGCCCGCGGGACTTGAGTTTGACATGTGAGTTAGATCAATTTTATATCTCTAAATGCTGTTGGAGTGCAACTCCTATTATCCCTCACCACTTGCAATACTGCCTAAGGCTGGATCTACACTGCCAACTGGATTATATGAGTCTATCATTCCAGATAATCTGGGATAAACAGATAATCTGGGCTCGGATTCTGGGATATAAGGCATGCCTAAGTCTGAAGAAAGTTGAGGTTCAACATTAACAGTTGGAGGACCACAAATCTTGGTTCAGATTCATCTGTCAACTGGTTTTAAAAAACTATTTGGCCGGAAATGATTGTATGAACCTCCCCCCTCCAAAAACAAAAACAAAACCTTTACCTATACCACTAAAAGCACTCTCCTTCCTCTTTCAATTCTCCAAAAAATTAAAAGAGACTATCTGTTTGTCGCCAACCCTTCTGCTTCCCTTTCAGATATATAAGGTTGCTTACTGGTCCGTTACTTGAGTCAACCCCAGAGTTCAAAACTAGAGGTCCAGTCTCTCAGACCCTTCTTTTAGTATTAAATGACCTTCATAATCCTCTGGTTCAAGGGAATGAAGAGTGATGGCAATGAAAGGCGTCTTCTTCCAAACTCAAAGATATAAGTTCTTGGCTTGAGAAAGGCATTGCAAGGGGTCAAATGGTCCCAAGACCTCTAGATTTAGTCTGAACACAGCCGACCGCCTCTAAGTTCAGCACTGGAAGCAATAGACAGATGTTGCCACGGGGAGCTAATGGCCATGCCTACGGAGGAAACACAGAACAAGATTAATACAACAATAACATGAATTAGAAAAATCCAGACCACAGCTACTATGACCCCAGTTCTCATAGATTATTTTGTACAATGATATTGAGTAAAAAAATTCAGCAACCTGAGAATCCTGTTTTATTTAATTTAGAAACATCAATATTTCTTAATCACTGGATATGAAAAATAGAAAATATGTAATTGCACAGTAGTGACACTCTCCAATCCCATCCATGTTACCTTCTCCATGGAGATCCATGTTGCCTTCATTGCGTGAATTGAAGCCGTTTGGGCTTTCCATGTTTTCATAGGAATCGGCATCTGCAAAAGGGACCTGGTTAGAAATGAACTACTACTTTACCAAAGTTGAAAACTTGTTTCTTAATCACAACCTCTTGAACAGCATCTATAAAACTGGGGATTACTGGAGGACTCCACAAACTATATATGGTAATTGCCAAAATAGTCTCCCATTGATAATAAAAAATGAAGCAGATGCCACCTAATCTGTATGAGGGCTAAATACCATAAAAGCACAATGAGAACCTATTAAATTTATGGGGCCACCATAAGTTGGAAACATGTCTCTTAAAAGGTAGGTAGGTAGGTATCACTTATTACAAATGATGTCACCTATTTGAGTGTTAGAAAACTTTTCCTTTTATATAGGCTGAACAAGATGCCAAAAAATCCTGAATTTTGGGATATTTGAAAAAGAAAAAAACATATTTTTCTCAATCACAGTTAAATCTGGCAAATTATGTTCTTCATAAAGAGAGAAATGTGTGCATCATATAATTAATGAATGAGGACAATAATCATATAGAGAAACACATGGTTAACATATCTGAATTCAATACTGTACTTTAATTTGATAATCCAGTGGAAAGCAGACATGTAAATAGCTATTTCCTAATTGGGTTGCTGTGAGTTTTCCAGGCTGTATGTTCCAGAAGCATTCTCTCCTGACATTTCACCCACATCTATGGCAGGCATCCACAGAGGTGGTATGGTCTCAACATCTGAGGATGCCTGCCATAGATATGGGCAAAATGTCAGGAGAGAATGCCTCTGGAACATGGCCATGAAACTCACAGCAACCCAGTGATTCCAGCCATGAAAGCCTACAACAACACACATTTCCTAATTGTCAGCCTCGCATGAAATTATTTTCAACTGTCTCTTATTGATGGTACAGTAATCTCTCCTTATTATCCAACATTTTTGCCTATCCAACGCTCTGCCGGCCGGTTTATGTTAGATAAGAAACATAAACGGGCCAGCAGAGCGTTGTATAAGCAAAAATGTTGGATAATAAGGAGAGATTAAGGAAAAGCCTATTAAACATCAAATTACGTTATGATTTTAAAAATTATGCACCAAAACATCATGTTTTACAACAAATCAACAGAAAAAGCAGTTCAAAGCACAGCAACCTTATGTAGTAATTACTGTATTTACAAATTTAGCATGAAAACATTGCAATGCATTGAAACAGCTGTGGATCCAGGCAGGAGGCAGACTACGTTGGATAATACAGAGCGTTGGATGAGTGAAGGTTGGATAAGCAAGACTCTAATGTATAAACACTTGGTAAAACTGGAGATTAGAAACCCATCTGTCCTGTTTTGCTGCCTACACTGTAAGTTTCATTTGGGTACTTCTTGTCTATCAATAACAGAATTACACATGTAAATAGATAAAATAGTAGGCTTTTGAGACTCGGCCATTAGCTCCAACACCACACTTTCTAACACAGAAAACATGTAGATATCTGAGGTGCCTCCTTTTCACAAACTGATGGAAGATTCATATTTACCTTCCTCATTGCTTGTGTTGGGTTGCAGCAGAAGAGGCTTGATAGCAGTGGGGGACAAGGACCCATTCATCTCTTCGTAGGACTGGGAGCCTGAAGGGAAAAGCAGAACCAGATCAGAAAGGGATGGATGGATTAATCCATGCATACTACATGACTGGATCCCAGCCAAATGAATCTGGGTGAAGTTTATCTATCTGCAGCTGTCTAGAATGCCAATGCAACAAGTTTGCTCTCAAAATAGGCCCTTTGGGAAATTCCACATCACCTAAAACAGTGACGAGCAAAGTGGGCAACTGGAGTCACAATTGCCACACACCCCCACACTCCCAAATTGAGCTGTTTCTTCTTGCTTAGCAACTTCATGATAAGGTAGAGTAGAGAAGATATACCGGGACAGGGATGACATCATGTGAGAAAGAGCACATTTAATAGTTAACAGGTCACAATGCAATACTTCAATTTGGTATTAGCTTATAAGAGGTCTACAATCACTTTGAGGTTTCCTGTGATGCACAGAAACAGCCAAGTTGAATGCTTACCTGTAGAAGCCTCACTACCGCCATCCTGCCTATCAATGTGAGGGTCCAGAGACAGGTGGAGGCGTAAACCTGGAGCAGAGACAGACAATAGCAATCAGTGGGTTATATCTAAAGCAGTGGTTCTCAGCCTGTGGGTTCCCAGGTGTTTTGGCCAACAACTCCCAGAAATCCCAGCCAGTTTACCAGCTGTTAGGATTTCTGGGAGTTGAAGGCCAAAACAAGTGGAGAACCACTGATCTAGAGGAATCTTATATGAACACATGGTAATAAGAATGCAAGGGGTATGAGAAGGATGACCCATAATGACCACCCAGATGCCTAAGCCCACAAACCAAAGAAGAAAGTGGTTGCACCTTTTTGCTCACCTTGCTCACCAACTATAATTCGGAGTCTTTTTGCTTAAGATACAGGTGACTTTCATGCTACAGTTCTCAAAGAAGACTGCAAACTAAAAAGGAGTCTGAGGCCCATCTACACTGCCATATAAAATCCACATTATCTGCTTTGAGCTGGATTATATGAAAGTGTATTTATTCATATAATACAGTTCAAATCAGATAATCTTGGATCAGATACTAGATTATATGGCAGTGTAGACCCAGCCTTAGATGGAAATTAGACCAGGTCTTAGGGTGAATCTACACCCTAAGAATTAAATACACTTCAATTAAATACACTTCAACACCACCTTAATTACCATGGCTCAATACTGTGGAATCCTGGGAGCTGTAGTTTGGTGAGGCACTAGCACTCTTTGACATAGAACAGTGGATCTTATTTATATATTTATTTGCTTTATTTGTATACTGCATTTTTCAGCCTATATAGGCGACCTGTGGGTCCCCAGTGTTTTGGCCTTCAGCTCCCAGAAATCCTAACAGCTGGTAAACTGGCTGGGATTTATGGGAGTTGTAGGCCAAATCACCTGGGGACACACAAATTGACATCACTGACTTTGTAAAATTTCCCGGACCTACTTTACAGGAAAGGCTCACAGGAATTGAAGTTCTATCAAACTGCATTAATTCCACAGTGTAGATGCAGCCTCCATGTTTGTGCCTAGTTTTTGTCTTGAAAAGATATACATTTAATATCAGGCACTGTAGGCTGCATGTCAAAGGAGGGAAAATGGAAAAATCACCTTTCAGCATTCCTTGCCTATGAAATTAATGGAGTCGCTGATGTATCAGTGGTTCCTGACCTGTGGTCAGTGGACCACCAGTGGTCGGCAAGAACTAAAATATGATCCACGGCCTCACCGTTTCTACACAGTTGCAACAAGAGTGATTGGTCTCACAGGCTTATTAAATATGGTTTTCTGTGGGTGAGCAGATGGGGATTACTGGGTGGCATATGTTCTGTATCAGAAACTAGAGCTGATGTGGTCTATCCAATGCAATTTTCTGAATCAGCACCCAAATAACCAAATCTAAGGTTGATCAAAACCTGATTCGCAACCCTTTTGGTACTAATGTTGGAGAGTGGTCCCTGGTCAAAGTGGTCCCTGGTCAAAAAAAGGTTGGGGACCACTGCTATAAATTGACAGAAGGATTGAAGGCACATGCATACACACAATTTTGTTACATTTATATTCCACCCTTCCTCTAAACAACTCAAAGCAGTACTCTTTGTTATTTTTCTCTTCACAGTCATCTTGTCAGTAGCAAACTACATTTTGAGTGAGGTTTTCCCATCTTAGTCCAACAGTCAAACCATGAGACAACGTTATTTCTTGTAAATCAGTAGTGAAACAGGCCACATAGAATAGATCTGAAAGACTTCAGGAAGGCTGTCTAGATTTTGAATTGTCCAGACTACTGTTCCAATACCTGCTATCAGGCGTGAGGCTCCAGGGCTCAGAGGAGATTCCTCTTCCAAGTTCTCATAGTTTTCACCATCAGCTGGAGAAACACAAAGAGATCAACCATCAACAGAATGTTGTGGCTTTATATCATGAATATGTTTGATTAAGAGTTTTTTATTAGTGGCAGTTCCTTCGAGCTGCTTTGAGAGTGAGTCGGCCCTCAGTATTTGCTGGGGTTTGGTTCCAGGACCCAATGTTTATATCAAACTCTCTGGATGGTCAAATCCAGAGTTATATGCAATGGTGCAGCATAACAGTATCCTTTATATACAATGGCAAACCGAGGTTGTTTGGGGCTTTTTTTTGGGGGGGTGGAGGGGGATTTATACAAATATTTTTAAGCTATTGATAGTTTAATCCATGGATTCAGCTTTCGTGAATATGGAGGTCTGACTGTGTGTTGCTTAGGCCATTGCTTATAGGATGGAAGGAGGAAAGTGGACAGTGGATATTGACTCGCTCATGTTAACAGAACTGTGGTTTGCACAGGCTAAGAACAAGGATGTGGTGAGGATTGAAGGCCACTAGAGACAATAACTTACACCAAAAATAGTACAGTGATTCCCAAGCACTGGTCTTCCAGGTGTTTTGGACTGAGGCTGAGGCTTCTAGGAGCTAAATCCAAAGCACGTGGATGACCAGAGTTTGGGAATCGCTGGTGTAATACTTCTCTCCCAAGTACTTCATTTCACCTACACCACCCAGTCCCAACTAGGATATGGTGCTCCAGTAAGATATATTATGTTTGAAGATTAAGATTGTGGGTTCCCAGATGTTTTGGCCTTCAAGATCCAGAAATCCTAACAGATGGTAAACTGGCTGGGATTTCTGGGAGTTGTAGGCCAAAACACCTGGGGACCCACAGGTTGAGAACCACTGCACTAAAGGGAGTTATTGCTATTATGAAATTAATGGTCACAATATTACAGTTGAAGATATCCTCATTTGAATAAACCATGTAACTTGGAATAAAGAATATTGTTTTTCCTTTATGGTTGTTCTTATTTTTCAAATATCCGAGCTGTTTCATTTCTCATGTTGCTTTGACAGGCTGCCCCAGTTTTGATTTTAACCCCCTGATGTTACCTTCATCAACTGGATCTTGAGACAGAATCTTGGGAGCCTCTGGGTTTTTGTTTGCATAGCATGCATCAACTGTGAACCACAATAAAGCAGGAGGTCAGAAAAAAATAGATCAATATAGTGCCATGACACCTGCATTTCTCTCCCTACACTGAATACCTCCTATTTCCCATCCTGTTACCTGAGTCCGAATTGTGAGAGACAGGTTTCACCTTGCTTCCTCTATTTTCATATAAGGAAACATCTGTGGAAGGAAAAGCAATAACTGTTAGTTTAAAAAGCCTCACAAGGAAAACAGGTATAATGATGGATTAGGTTTATAGCAATCAAGAAGTTTGCACCTTTTGCAACTGTTTCTCCCTGTGTTCCTTCTTCCTGGGTATTCTCATAGTTGTCATCATCTGAAGCATAAAAAAATTAGTAAGCTTAGCCACTCATTCATTTGCCCCTTATACCCCACAGCTTCACCACTACTACTTTTATCCTTCTGTTTTTAAGCTATTATTCCCCCTCCCTCAATCTGCCCATTTCACTTCTGGTCACTATGCCTAATATCCACCTTAGTCAAGACTCCTCATTTTGGGACTGTGGTTGTTGGCTATACCCTTTCATATCACTAGAATCCGGGTGGGAATCATGTGGCCTTCTAGATGCTGAAGGGTTCTAATGTGTGTACTAACACACATTCTTCTCTTTATGTATGGGAACTCTCACTCTTGCTCTCTCTCACACACAAAAATGTGGAGCAGCTTTTTCTATCGCTGTGCAGAGCCAGATCCACACTTACTCAATGTGTGAAACAGTGGTGGAAATCTCGCAGCCATACAAATGCCACTGAGAGCATTGCTCCCCACAGGAAGCAGCATATGAGGCCCCAAATATAGGAAATTGAATTAAGAGCATAAAAAGTCATGTTGGATCCAGATAGGTTGCCAGTCATGGAAAGTCACCCTCTTCTACTTGTACTTTTCTCAGTCCTTCTGCTATGGTGTTTCTCAACCTTCCTAATGCTGCAACCCCTTAATATAGTTCCTCATGTTGTGGTGACCCCCAATCATAAAATTATTTTTGTTGCTGCTTCATAACTGTAATTTTGCTACTGTTACGAATCGTAATGTAAATATTTGACATGAAAGATGTATTTTCATTCACTGGACCAAACTTTGCACAAATACTCAATATGCCAAAGTGTGTACAGTGCTAGAGTTTGGGTAAAATAGACCTTGACATTTGGGAGTTGTTGCTGGGATTTATAGTACACCTACAATCAAAGAGCATTCTGAACCCCATCAACAATAGAATTGGGCCAAACTTCCCACACAGAACCCCCATGCCTTGAAGGTACTCGCTGGTCAAGTCTCCTTCCAGCCTTGCATGCTCTCCCTCTCCCACACATGCGCACCACACTGCCATGCACGGAGCACGCCTGCTTTCCCCTCCCTGCTTGGAGTCTCAGAAACAGCCCTCCCCTTGTCTGAGAGGCCAGCCAATCACAGTGGAGGAGGGCTTTTGGTGGGTGGATTCACCATCTGTTTCCAAAAAGTAAGAGAAGGACAGGCAGAGAGATCTTCAGCTTTCTCTGCCAAAGGGGTTCCTAAGACCATCAGAAATATATGTTTTCTGATGGTCTTTGGCGACCCCTCTGAAACCCCCTCATGACCCACTCAAGGGTCCCAACTCCCAGGTTGAGAAACGCTGTGCTACTATAACATGTGTGCAAAATATACAATGGTTTACTAAGATCATAAACTATTTCTGGCCCATGCCATATTTATATTGACCAAACCGATTAAATAGGGAGAGGGCTGTTGACTGCAGTACGTAAGAGTCAAAATAAGTTAGTAGCTCAGTTAAAAGTTCACTTTACAAACAACGTTCCCACGGCATGCAATTTACCATCTGATTTGAGTTCTGTTTCACTATCAGGGCATTCATACACTTCTTCATCTGAGAGAGAGATGGAAGAGAGAGAAAAGGAGAGGAAAAAAATGAAAAGGGATATTAAATTCTGGGAATCAAGGCCACCCCTTCAATCGTTCCTTTTTGTCAGGGAGAGTCCCAGTTAATTTTCTGCTGTCCTACTTGTCCAACTGCTTATAAAATGTCTCACTTTCTCTCTTCCTCTGTTTTCCTCCTCCTTTTCTTCAGTTTACTTCAAGTGCTGCAGACTGAGTTCAAAGTCAAAAAGTAGTTTGCACTCAGTGAACTCAGCAAAGATGAGACTTGAGGAGGAGGCCTCTGCTGCTGTCTGAGTGACTTATACCACACTTTCTTTTCTCTTCCACCCTACTTCTCAGCTCTTACGGTTGTTTGTGCAAGACTCGGCTTTCCATATGAATGTTAGCAATATAACACTGGATTACAGTAGAAGAATGGGAAGAATAGGCCACAATAGTATTTGCCTGGTACTAGCACACACCCACCTCGCTCATTTTCTCAGTAAACAGGCGTATACATTTCCCGTGCAATGTTCTACATCCTGCCCACATTAAAAAAGACTAAGCATAGATATACGGTTTTGCCCCCTTCTCGCTCATGCAAATTTTCACTTGCAAGAACCAGAAATACCTGTGTGCTTTTAAATGTTTAGAACATGACACATCTTACAAATGAATTTGCACCTACTGCTATTTCAATAGTGTTCCTCCTTGAGAATATCTTAAGGAACAGAGCCCCATGGATCATTTCTGTCCATCTCCTGCTCTGTCATACTGAATGGCAATCAAATGTCAACTGGTCTTATGCTAGAGATCAATTCTTGATTTGGCCTTCTGTCCGAAATCTGTCAGAAATATTAAAAATTAACTAGGTATTTTTAATTTTTAATTTTTTTTTTGTCGTGTCAGGAGCATCCTGTTGTGAGAGAATTGGCCGTCTGCAAGGACGTTGCCCAGGGGACGCCCGGATGATTTTGATGTTTTATCATCCTTGTGGGAGGCTTCTCTCATGTCCCCGCATGAGGAGCTGGAGCTGATAGAGTGAGCTCATCCGCCTCTCCCCAGATTCGAACCTGCGACCTGTTTTAACCCACTGCGCCACCGGGGGCTCCTAATTTGAAAATGTGAGTCAAGCACTGTTCTGTCTTCCAGGAGCATGGTTTACATTGCCTTTTAGCTGCATGGGATAGCATTCCTTTGCATTTCTCCAGGGTTGCTACAGACCCAGCAGCACCCTGGAAGTTAAACAGTATCAGAGTCTGGAAAGCCAGGCTGCAGGCCCTCTGCAGTTATTGGTTTAGAAAGTATCTCTTTGGGTTTGGAGTCCGCCCTTTTTCCTGGGGTTGAGATCTCCATTTTGGAATCTCCCCTGCTTCCTTCAGTATAGAAAAAAGCCTCAGATGTGCTGTTGGTCAGCTAGGAAGCTCTGACAAAGCCATTGTGAGTACAATTGAGAAATTGAGATAGATAGATAGATAGATAGATAGATAGATAGATAGATAGATAGATAGAATACCTATTGGGAATTGAGTACTATAGAGATAGAATAGCAATTGAGTAATTGAGTTATTGGATTATTTAGACAGAGAAGCTGATTGAGTTATAGATAGATATAGAGATAAAGAGAAGCTTATTGAGAAATAGAGAGAAATAGTTATTGAGTACTATTGAGCATTACTTCTTTTCCAAAGCTAACCTTGAACTTAGATAGGGGAAGACCTGTTCTTTCTAACCATAGCAGCTCAGGGTTAGGGTGAAAGATCCCAGGATTTTTTTCTATCATTTGGAGAAAAGTTACCTCAGTAATTGAAGAAAAGGGAAAGAAAGAACATCTCTATGGTTTCCCAAATTGACTGTTTGTGTTGTAACTTTATCAAGCTGTGCCAAATATGCCAAGGGCTTTGGAAATAAATATTTTGTTGGTGTTCATATCTTGACCGGCATCAGTTGCTGAAAGTATTGAGTTATTGCTTCAAAGAAAGACCTCCAGCAGTTCGCCAGATAAAGAGAGAAACACATCTTAGTTTTAACTTTGCAGTGTCTGGGTGTGACGGCACAAGCACTGAAAGGGTTAAATGGATGCAATGACTCAACAAAAACTGCAATTCGATATAAGCAGGTGTGCCTGTAACTTAGTATGCCTCAGTGTTAGTTTGCCTCAGTATGAGAGCACCTCAGTGTTAGTAGGCCTCAGTGTGAGGTAGGCCTCAGTGTGTGAGAGGCCTGGTGTGCGAAGCTTTGGTGGGAGCTTTACACACAAGGCCTCTTGTGTAAAGCTCCAGTGTGAAGGCTGCTGTGTGTAAAAGGGTACTATGTGAAGATCCTGTGTAAGTTTAGTGTGAGAAGAGACTCTGGCTATGGAAAGGAACTTCCCACTGGGAACACATTGTCTTTTCATTGTGGATAGCAACTTCTCAACAGAGAAACAGCTCATTCAGAGCACAGCAGGGCCAGTGCTATGGTGGTCTTCAGCTATCTGTCTATAGCTATTTTTTTTAATAAATCTGTCCACACAAGGCACATACAAACACAAACCAGAATTATGGTGAGAGCACTGGATCTTCTCCCCACCCACCACTCACTTGTCCCTCACAATATGAACAGACCTTCCATGTTGATTGTATTGGGTAGGATCTTTCCTTTCTGAAGTAACCTTTGGCCATTCCTTCCAGGAGCAATGTCTGGCAACACATTCTCATAGGAGAAGGCATCCACTTGCTCTGCTGCTGGGTGTTGTTTAGGGTGAAATGTAAATAGTATTGAAATATGAAAATATTACCTTCCACATTGTTAACTGTCTCAAATAATTTTCAAATTGGTAGTTGTCATAGTCAAACACAACCAAGAAACTTGCAGAGCCTTAAAGACTAACCAAGATCGAAGACACATAACCATATAATCCAATGGTTCTCAACCTGTGGGTCCCCAGATGTTTTGGCCTTCAACTCCCAGAAATCATAGCAGCTGGTAAACTGGCTGGGATTTCTGGGAGTTGTAGGCCAAAACATCTGGCGACCCACAGGTTGAGAACCACTGATCTAATCAAACAGGTTCAACAATGGCAAATGATTAGGTCAGTGGTGGGGAGCCTAAAAATATGTCAATAATTTTGACTATAAGCCCATCATCCCTGACCACTGGCCATACTAGTTGGAGTCTAACAGCATCAATAATGCAACAGGTCCTCTCCACCCCATTTTAAGGTATCAAAAGATCTGTTGTTGCCCTCCATGCATTAACTAATAAGTGCCCAACTGTAGCTGCGTGAGTAATTTTGTACAAAAGGATTACTGCAATGATCTACCATAAAAACAAAATAAGACCTAGTGGTCCAAGAAGGGGCAAATTCCAAAATCTATGATCCCACAATACTTCAACTAGGACCAAAATTGTAAACAAGATTTTCAGTTCTCTGGGATTCTCCATCAGATTGGATCTTATGTAAAGCTGGGGAAAGAGGGGAGGGAAGGAAAAGCAGCAAACTATGTGGAACAGAGGGCACTAGATGTGGCAATTCCCAAGTCATATACAATATGGGTCATCAGTCTGGAGCCTAGAGAGTCAAGACAGGATCAGTGAACTTCTATCTATTTAGTTTACTTTGTTCATATTGTTCATAACCATATTTTTGTACCCATAACAGAAAACTTCAATTTTAAAATTTCATATTATTTAAAGATTTAAGGTCCAAATGAACTTTATTTTTTGGGAGAAGCCCTCACTCTTCTGGGTCCCAAAAATAGTTTTGTCTTAACTTGCATTTTTTTTCTTGGAGGTCCTCGCTATACCTATTGAGGTAGTCCCAAACCATGGATGAATGTGCTAGAAACATTTGAACCTAAATCCAATTGCTAGTGCCAAATAGAGTAAACCCAATGAATCAGTGGGATTCAAATAGAATTTGCTTTTCCACCTTGAGCAGTTCATCCAGTGAGCATACTCTAGTTGAGGCCAGGAATCAGATTTAGGTCCTACCACATAAACTTCAAGTAGTTTTCTAGCTGTTCTGTATAAGATAATTACAAGATGGATCTTCAGATAACAAGATGCTTCCTAGCAAGTAATTAACTCACCATCTTCAGTTGCTGGAGATGCCACAATCCCATTGGAGATATGTGGCTTGTTCCTCTTAGCACCAAAGTACCTTCTGGAAACAAAATAATAATAACAAAATAACAGAATACCAATGAATTAATGAATTAATGATAAAAGGTAAAGGCTTCCCCTTGACATTAAGTTTAGTCACGTCCAACTCTGGAGATGATACTCATCTCCATTTCTAAGCCAAAGAGCCAGCATTGTCCGTAGGCACCTCAAGGGTCATGTGGCCAGCATGACTGCATGGAGTGCTGTTACCTTCCCACTGAAGCGGTACCTATTGATTTACTCACATTTTCATGTTTCGAACTACTAGGTTGGCAGAAGCTGGGACTAACAGTGGGACCTCACCCCACTCCCTAGATTCGAACCTTTCAATCAGCAAGTTCAGTATCTCAGCGGTTTAACCAGCTGTGCCATCAGGGGCTCCTGAATTAATGATACCAAGGCATAAATCTAGAGATTTCCTACTTTTTAAGGAAGAGAGGCCAATGTCCTGGACTCATCTTCCATAGCATGCATCAGAATTGTGCATCCTTCCAGGTGTTGCTGAACTACAATTCCCAAAACTTCTAGCCAGCCTAACCAAGGACGGATCCAGACAGGTCTTTATCCCAAGAGAATCCGTGTTTTAAAAATGTGGATTTTTTGGGGGGCCTGTCCACACCCACCACAGAAAGCACGTGCTTTCTGGGGTGGGTGTCCAGACGTTCTTCTGGGACTAGCTCGGGAGAACGTCTGGAGGCACTACTCCCTCCCCCCAAGCCCCCAGACCCCTTAGAAAGGTAATGAAAACTTACCCAGCCATTACAGGCTTTGGCTAGCTCTCCTGGCCTGTAGAAATGATGTGCCAGGAGAGCAGGAAGCGGGGAGTGATTTTCCTCCCCCCTCCCCCCCCCCCCCCCCCCCCCCCCCCCGGTCTACTGGCACATCATTTCTATGCACCGGGAGAGTTGGCCAAAGCCTGGAATGGAGGCTGGGTCAGTTTTCATTACTTTTCTAAGGGGTCTGGGGGCTTTGCAGGAGGGGGTGGGTATTCCCACAGTTTAGCTAATTAGTTTATTTATTTAATTAATTTGCTACAAACCAGAGAATTCATTCGGGAGGGGACTGTCCAGAATGTTGTCTGGACAGGCCCTCCACCGCAATAAAGTTACTGCCTGGATGGGCCCCAATTGTGAGGGATGCTGTCCACTTCTCAGTATATTCCCCTGCTGCTCACACATTTCACTACTCCCCTTTTGCATAATTTCTCCTTCCAATACTTGCCTCCTGGCAGGGGACCTCAACTTCATTTGTTGTTTACGAGCGCGAGTGACTGAAAAAGAAAGAGGTAGATGTGAATGCTTGGTGATATAAAGAATCCTTTCTCCTATTGCCACTGTGACATATCCATTTGTATCTGGAGTGGCTACATTTGGTGTAATATGTCAGGAACCTCAAGCTCAAAGTGCGGGGAAACTCCCAGAATAAAAGAAATATGTTCACTCTGAAGGAGCCCACAGTTTATGCTGGATACAGCAGTGTTAAGCTGTAAAGGCTATTTGTTTATTTACTTTATTTATACCGCACCTCTCTCACCCCAAAGGGACTCAAGGCTAGGAAGTTAAGTTACAGGATGAATTTGATAATTAATTTATTTGGTTAGTTTTGTCTACCTGCCTATACTTACCATGTCGGAGCCACAGGAAACACAAGACAGAGCCAAGACAGAAGACTATATATCCCAGAGCCACCGTCCAGATTATCCAGTGCTGGTCTCCAAAAGCTTGCCAAAAACCTTTCAAGTAGGCTGGTGTTGGGGGAGGGGGGAAGAATTAACACATCAGAGCATCCAATTAAATAAGTCTTAATCTAGTCATCCACCACATGAGTTTCAGATAATTTTGTCACCCAGACTGCCATAGTCCCCAGTGGCGCAGTGGGTTAGACCTCTGTGCTGACAGGACTGAAGATCGACAGGTTGCAGGTTTGAATCTGGGAAGAGCACGGATGAGCTCCCTCTATCGGCTCCAGCTTATCATGTGGGGACATGAGAGAAGACTCCCACAAGGATGGTAACACATCAAAACATCCGGACGTCTCTTCGGCAACATCCTTGCAGACGGCCAATTCTCCCACACCAGAAGCGACTTGCAGTTTCTTAAGTCGCTACCGACACGACAAAAAAAATACACACACACATCTGTACACTAAAGCTGAACAATAGAGTGGAACAAAGTCCTGGCCAATGCAAACCAAAAGATATTTATATTTCACAAGTGAGGAACACAAAAGAAAAAGAAATGAGCCCAGGCCAAAACATAACAATTATATTTACACCAGTGTTCTCCAACTTGGCATCCTCCACAAGTGTCGGACTTTTTTGTTTTTTGTTGTATCAGGAGCAATTTGAGAAACTGCAAGTCGCTTCTGGTGTAAGAGAATTGGCCGTCTGCAAGGGCATTGCCCAGGGGATGCCCGGATGTTTTGATGTTTTATCATCCTTGTGGGAGACTTCTCTCATGTCCCCGCACGAGGAGCTGGAGCTGATAGAGGGAGCTCATCTGTGCTCTCCCCGGATTCGAAGCTGCAACCTGTCGGTCTTCAGCCCTGCTGGCACAGGGGTTTAACCCACTGCACCACCGGGGTCTGCACTGCCATCATCCCTAGCTTATAAAACTTTGGGTAATGGGGGATAGAGTTTGAAACAACTGTAGACACCAGCCTGGAAAAAGCTTGTCAGTCAGTACCAGTTACCAACTTAATTTAAAGTACCCAAAGAAGATCCACTACCTTCTTCTCTTACCTGGTTTCACTGTTACTTTCAGCTGAAAATGGCGTTTTTGCTCTTTCCACTCACAGGTGTAGTTTCCAGTGTCATTAAAGGTTACTGATGGAATGATTAAAAAAATGGTATCATGCTTTATGATCATCCTGTGATAAGGAGAGAGTGATATATGCACTTTCACCAACACTGTCTCTTCAGCAAGTGAATTCTGCTCAAGCCAGGAAAGTAACCCTTCCATCCGGTTATTGGGCATGGGAGCATCACATGGGAAGAATTCAAGTTGTCTTGCTAGAAAAGAGAAATCCTCCAAGAGATCAGCAGAAACAGGTAACAGAAATCACATGAAGTGTCAGAACACAGTTATATGTAATTCAAAACACATTTTTTTAAAAAAGCAGAACATTTTTAATATATTTGCACACACATTCCCCATAGCAGTAAATCAGAAGTTAGTTTTCCCCAAAGTACACAACCTAAGGATCTACGGCTATAGTCCTCTGAAGGCTACCTCAAGCTTTATCCTCCCCCCTTTTCCTACATTTTTTTCAGATACAGAAAAAATGAAATGCAAAGATACAGAATGGGGGACACCTGACTCAACAGCAGTATGTATCAAAAAGAGCTTGGAATCCACGGGGACAACAAGTTAAACATGAGCCAACAATGTCATGTGGCGGCAAAAAAGCCAATGGGATTTTGGCCTGTATAAATAGAAGCATAGTGTTTAGATCCAGGGAAGTCAGGCTACCCCTTGTTCAGACCACATCTGGAATATTGTGTCCAGTTCTGGGCATCACAATTGAAGGGAGATGTTGACAATCTGGAATGTGTTGAGAGAAGGGTGACGAAAGCGATCAAGAGTCTGAAGAACAAACCCTATGAGGAGCAGCTTAAAGAGCTGGGCATGTTTATCCCACAGAAGAGAAGGCTGAGAGGAGTCATGATGAGGGCCATGTATCAAGATGTGAGGGGAAGTCATAGGGAGGAGGGAACAAGGTTGTTTACTGCTACCCCAGAAACTAGGATGTGGAGCAATGGCATCGAAATACAGGGAAGGAGATTCCACCGGAACATTAGGAAGAACTCTGTAACTTTGAGAGCTGTTCAGAAGTGGAACTCTCTGTCCCAGAGTGTGGTGAAGGCTCCTTCTTTGGAGGCTTTTAAACAGAGACTCGATGGCCATCTGTTGATGGATCTTTGAATGTGATTTTCCTGTTTCTTGGCAGGGGGATGGACTGAATGGCCCATGAGATCTCTTCCAACTCTATGATTCTATGATATAACGCAAGGGGATTTCTCTTGTGAACTGTCTCTGAAGTATAGCCCGGCACTTTGGGCCTACAGGTAAGTGCTGCCCCCCCCGCCCCCCCGCCCGCCTCCAAATAATGGTCTGAAAGAAAACAGCTCTTTTGGCATGGAAAACAGAAAACAGATGCCTGACCTCCTAATTTCAGGAGGCTCCGTCAAAACGGATCGGGGCCCTGACCAAAAGCCAAGACACAAAACAGATCAAGGTTTGCCCCGAATGCACATGACTACTAGTTACCCATAGGTGATGGGATTTGCAATTCAAAATGGCTAGAGCGGTGTTTCTCAAACTGTGCTCCTCCAGGTGTTTTGGACTTCAGCTCCCAGAAATCCCAGCCAGCTTACCAGCTGTTGGGAATTGTGGGAGTTGAAGTCCAAAATATCTGGCGAAGCAGAATTTGAGAAACTCTGAGCTAGAGGAAGCCAAGCTGTGGAGTGTTTAAACCCCACCAGGTTAACTGCACTTTGAACAATGAGAATACTTACCAGTCCCGTTTGGGAGTGCGTGGTTTGTTCCCGAGGTGCCATTCCACTGACAAGTGAACCAAACATCATCTTGCCTGGAGATGTTGTAGAGCAACAGTCCCCACATGTCACCTAGTCTTGCGCCTGACTGAAGGTATTGAACATATGTGTACAACAGCAGGTCCCCAGACGGACTGGACCAAGTCAAATCCAGATAATCCGAGGCCAGTGCAGGATCAAAAGAGCAGGGCAGAATTACTGTATCAGACTCTGGGATATGAGACAAAAAAGTCAGATTTTCAGTGTAAATTTTCTCAGGGCCCTAAGTTACAATCCAGCTTGCCATGTCATGTCATCTTGCCCTCCAAATACTGGACTACAACTGGATTTCTCATCATTCAACATCATGACTAAAGCTGATGGGAGTTATGACACCATAACATCTGGAAGGCTGCAGTTTGTCTTGTCTTATCAGGAGAGTGAGGTTTGAATTTAGATACAAGGCTTGTGGATATGATGTTTGATGTTAAAATGTCCTTTAACCTTCCCCCAAGCTCAGAGCCACGAGTGCAGTTGAATTGCAATCCCCATTTTCCCCGTCCGCATGGTGGATAATCAAAAGTGATGGGAGTTGTTATTCAATAATATCTGAGGAACCAAACTGGATAAAAAACTTTTAAAAACTTCAACAATATGTAAAACAAAATATTTACCTTGTCCTCTGTATCCATGGATTCTCCATCCATGGATTCAACCGCCCTTTGAAGGCAACCACAAGGCTGATATGTGGCCCTTGATGAAAATGGTTTGACACCCCTGGATTAGATGAAGAAAGAATTCCTCCCTCACTACCTAGCTATTTTTTTTTAAAAGTTTGAGAAACTAGAAAGATTGTAAGTTAGCATGTTAAACTCTAGGGTGGGAGTTTCAAATCATCTGGTGCCAATCACCTCTGACAACGGGGGCAAAGAAACACTTTTAATTCCACGTCATTAAAAAATTTAATTAGAGTTTCAAGGTTCCTGATTCAACACAACCAATGGCCATGTTGGCTGGGGAATCTTGGGAGTCGTAGTCCAAAATTAACTTTTTTTCAGGCTCTATGATGAGGATAGTCTTGATGTGTGTGTGTACGTGCCTTCAAGTTGCTTGTGAACTTACAGTGATCCCATAGATTTTGTAGGGTTTCCTTAGGAAAGAAACACTCAAGAGTGATTTTGCCAGTTCTTTTCTCTATATCTGACCCAGATTTACAATGGAGAATATCTTTAAACCAAAGTTATCTGTATAAGGTGAATCCATCCTGGTATTTGTCTTTGCTGGCAACCATTAGGTAAAGGTAAAGGTTTTCCCCAGACATTAAGTCCAGTTGTGTCTGACGTTGGGGGGTGGTGCTCATCTCCATTTCTAAGCCAAAGATCTGGCATTGACCATAGACATCTCCAAGGTCATGTGGCCAGCATGACAGCATGGAGCGCTGTTACCTTCCTGCTGGAGCAGTACCTATTGACCTACTCACATTTGCATGTTTTTGAACTGCTAGGTTGGCAGGTGATGACTCATACTGCAACCGCCCCTAACTAACATTAGCTTCAATAATAATTTTTTTGATCTCGGACCTTCTTGAAAAATGACTATGATTGTTCCTAGTAATTGTTTAGGATAAAAAGATTACAAATGTGTTTGATACCTCAAACACATGCCAGAGGTAAAGAGGAAAAATGGAGTAGGGGGTAAACACTAAGGAAATTCAGGTATTACAACTTTTCAACTATAAACAAAGCCTTCTGAGCAAGAAACCTGTTTGCTTGTAATCCCAGATACTTGGATGCTGACCACAATAAGAGAGAACCATTCTGAACATGCTCAAAGGCACTCTTTTCCTGATTCTCTTGGGTATACACCCTTCTATAAGTCCCATGTGGAACATAGAGCTAGAAGGAGCAGGAAGGAGAAAAAAAGCCAACAAACAATAACTTTGGCCAAAGAATCTTCAAGTCCAGGCACTGCTTTCAGTCCAATCTACTCACAGCACTGTTTGAGATAAGAGTTTATTCCAAGCATCATTACTTTATAGAACTACAGAATTACACTGACAAACACAAAGTATGCATGAGGAATATCTAATGCATATGTGGTCATCTTGATCTGAGGTCTGTATGCCGAGCTCAGAATGTAGTCAGAGCTTGGTTGTTAATTAAGAGGATGTTCTCAGGATCAGACACTGTATATAACTATATCTTCTGGTCTTTGATACCTGTTATTGGTGCTATGCTAATTTTTTTGCAGTTACAGCATTTCGGAGCACCCGATGGCGCAGTGGGTTAAATCGCTGAGCTGCTGAACTTGCTAACCGAAAGGTTGCAGGTTCGAATCAACCTAGTAGTTTGAAAACATGCAAATATGAGTAGATCAATAGGTACTGCTCCAACGGGAAGGTAATGGCGCTCCATGCAGTCATGGCCTTGGAGGTGTCTACAGACAATGCTGGCTCTTCGACTTAGAAATGGAGATGAGCACCAACCCCCAAAGTCTGACACAACTGGACTTGATGTCAGGAGAAAACCTTTAGCTTTAGCTTTACCTTACAGCATTTCTAGCATAGCACAAATGACAGGGCCCAATAAACAATGCAATTCATGAGGAAACGTCAGCCATTATCAAAATGGAGTTCATCAGGCTCGCTAAAACAGAGCAGCATACTAGTGAATCTTTCATCCACTTTACTGATACTGCCTCCCCCTTCATAGCAGAAACCCATCTCATTCCACCATCTCCATTGACCTTCATCTGCAGGACCCACCTGTTGCTTCAACAACTTGCATTGGCATCTCCTGCTCATTGCTGGCTGTTCCGCCACAACCCAGCCAGAGCAGAAGCAGGTAATGCAGAACAGATACCATGGCCTCCTTTCAAGCAGCTCCACTGCATGCCAGCCCGCGGCTAGCTGGGCACAGTGAGGCCCAGGCAGCCTCAGAAGGGCGGTCTCTCAACTACTTGCTGTTTTAGCAGAAGAAGAGCCCCTTTGGAGCGTGACCATACTTCCCATCATGTTCCCTTGAGGCCTGAACAGAAGACCCAAGGGAGGAAGGGTAGGGGAACTGCAGCTAAACTGATGTAAGCTCAAAGAAAATGAGAACGGAACTTCTTATTTTCCTTTTTTCTTTTGCAAGATTGTCCCTGCTAAGTTTATTTCTTATATACTCATGTATAAGTCTAGTAATTTTAGTCGTGAAATCAACTCAGAAAACTGGGTCAGTTTATCCATGAGTCAATACAAGTACTGTATCTTAACTCTTATAATAAAAAAGAACTATTTCTGAGTAGAGTGGTGAAAGGCAAGAGTTTATCTCATCCCAAGAGACCTAAAAGAAGGACCAATTCCTCTACTCTCTTTGTCATGGTGTCTTTCTGGCCCTTTTGGATGCCAGAATAGAGCAGGCTCAGCTGGCATCTTGAGGCATTGGTGTTTTCCCCTCTCCACCAAATGTCCTCGACTTATACATAACTATGCATGGGAATGTCCTTCTGGAATTTATATACCATCATTTCTTCATTTGACACAGGTTACAGTCTAACCAAACTGCAAGTAAAAGTTACAAAACATCACATTTGAACAGGAAGAGTAGGTGAAGCTTCCTTCTTTAGAAGCTCTTACGGAAGCCTGGGCCTTTTCTTGTTTGGTTTGTGTCACAGACCGCATTCCCTGAAGCAGTTCCAGACAAGACCTAAAACCTGGGAGCAATCATATTTCATAAACACGATTGTGCCTAGGTTGAAGTCCAGAACCTCCCCACAACATCTGTCCTTTTCTGGGTCGGTGTCCCGATGCCTTGCCGGACTTTCTGGCAGGGCACCAAGACACTAACAACCCCCCCCCCCCCCCAAAGCCTTTAAAATGGAAAATAACTTACTCAGCTGCCATTCTCGATTCTCCGGGGATCTCCTGGTGCATAGAAATGACATGCCAGGAGAAAGGGAGGAAGGGCAGGAGTAATTTTCCTCCTTCCCACCTCTCCTGGCTCATCATTTCTACACCCAAGGAGAGCTCCAGAGAAGGGGGAATAGCAGCCGGGTAAGTTATTTTGTGTTTTAAAGGCTTTCCTGGGGGGGGGGGGGTGTTGGGAGGCGGGGGGAATATCTCAGGTTTCTCGGGCTGCAGGAGACAGATGTGTAAATTCCTATATTCTCAAGATGTTCTGCACCTGCAGAGAAAAATAAAAATAAAGAACACATCATGATATTTTAAATCATAATGGCTTTAACTCATTTAACTGTCTGGTGCACATGTTTATATATATTATTATTAAATGGACACTGGAGGTCATGCTATCCCCAGTCCCATCTACACAGCGCCCATAGCTGCAAAGACCTGAGTCTTCTGAAAGACCCGGGTCTTTCCGGATGACAAATTATTTCGGAACAAAGCAGGGATTTCCTACTTTGTTCCAAAAGCATTAGTTTTTCCCTGAGTCGTAGTTTGGCTGCTCCAGGGGAAAACGCAGGAGGGCATGCACTATAGGTGCTATCTGGATGGTCTTTCAAAGACACCATGATTTATTTATTTATCGCGTCAGGGGCAACCAGATAACTGTATTACATTTCTAACAGAACAAAACAAACAAACAAACAAACAAACAAACAAACAAACAGAGAAAACACAAAATTTGCAAGCTTGGTAGTTGATTAAATGTCATTTGACCAGTATCTGGCCACTTGGAGTGCCTCTGGTGTTGCCATTGTGCATGTAGCAGGGCTCAGGTTGCATTGCAGCAGGTGGTCTGTAGTTTGCTGTTCTCCACACTTGCATGTCGTGAATTCCACTTTGTAGCCCCATTTCTTATGATTGGCTCTGCATCTTGTGGTGCCAGAGCACAGTCTGTCCAAGTCGCCCAGTTTTCTGTGTGCCCGGGGGGGGGGGGGAGAGTTTCTCATTTAGTATCAGCCATTAGTTGAGGTTCTGGGTTTGAGCCTGCCACTTTTGGACTCTCACTTGCTGAGGTGTTCCAGCAAGTGTCTCTGTAGATCTTAGAAAACTATTTCTTGATTTAAGTCATTGATGTGCTGGCTGATACCCGAACAAGGGATGAGCTGGAGATGTCACTGCCTTGGTCCTTTCATAACAACAACAACCCCATGATAATGGGGAAGTAGCAGCACCAAATAAATTTTCTCAGGCAGTTCATGTCTTTGAGAGTGCATTGATGGGTTTATTTTGCAGACCTGCAACTACAGGATGCCATTTTGTGTTTCCTGTGAGCTCTTGCCATGGCCAGTGACTTTTTACAAGAAACATTGGGATATTGTCTTAATTCTACCCGGGAGATGCACCCAAAGGCATTCTAGGAGCTGTAGACAGGAAACAGGATGAAGAAACTTTTCCGACCTCTGTAAATAGGAGATACTGGGCTAGAGGACCATTACATTATGCAAGGCCATTACATTATAACCTGCTTCTCTTTTATCTTGCCCGAGTTTTTAATTAGTTTTTCTTTTAATCATTACATGTAGCCCGGCCATTGTCACTATGTTTGTGCTTACTGTAATTTTATATTGTTATGTATTCACATGTTTTGTGTAATTATGATTTTGTTGTTTATTGTTCACGTTTGCGTTTTTGGTTTTTCTCTGTTGTATTTGTAGTTTGGGCCTGGCCTCATGTAAGCCGCTCCGAGTCCCCACCAGGGAGATGATGGCGGGGTATAAATAAAGTTATTATTTATTATTACTATATTATCACAGGCATATTTGTTGTTTGTTTATTTCTTTCTGATATTTCTATCCTGCCTTTCTCAAACCTGAAGGTGACTTAAGGCGGCTTACAATCAGGCAGCCATTTGATGCCTTAACAATAAACACTTAAAATAACATTTCAAACAGAGTTATAAAATACATACAATAAATCTTTAAAAACATATAAAACCAATGCCTTCACCGTTAGTCTCTTTGTCCAAAATCATCATCAAATGAACTACTGTATGACCCTGGGGATCTGCAACTACCGAACATATTTTTACAACGTGGAACAAATGGATATGTGTGCACCATTCTAACAGTTAGCAGATGAGATTGAAAGTAGACATTAAATGGAAAAAGTTGAGTCTTGGCTTGATTGTTCCACACTCCTGGATAATGGGCAGCTATATACTTGTGCATCCATTTGTTAAAGCATGTATAGGCAAGTGGAGAAGGAAGCTAAACTCTCTCATCAGCTGAGCTGAATCTTCCCGTCTCATATTCTCTGTTGTTTTTGTTTTTGCGGGAATGATTTCCAACCACAAGTTCCCGCTAGGGGAAAAACCATCTGGGAAGCGAAAGCGAAACACCAAAAAGGGTGTGTTTGAAAGGGAAAGCCTGGGTGTGGGAAGGAGCCAGTTTCCTTATCCTATGTAGTCATACTAAATCTTAAAGCTCTCTTTTGTTGGTTCAAGATGTTCTTTTCTGTAACATTCCTCTCTTCTGAAAATTATTTGACATGCCAGTCTGCACTGGATATAGCCTAAAATTGTAGCATGATTTCTATCACAGTTATCTAATAAACAAGGTTGCTGGGGGAAAAGAGAGAGAGAGAAATCACCAGGGCTGAGAGCCCATTTTATGCTGTTCTTGTTTAACCATTAGCCTGACACAAAGGAGGATGACCTCTTATTTAAGCAACTATCTGGAACAAGAACCATCATGTGACTTACAGAAATGAAATATTTCCTGATTCCTAACCTTTGCCAAAAAAAACCCAAAAAACCCTGAAGCTGCCTTTTCCGGTTCGAACGTTTAAATACATAACACTCAGCAACTAAATTAGGAAGTAATTCCTCTGCTGCCAGAAGCAAAAGAGAGAGTCCCCATCTACAGTCAGATAACATCCAGATTATATGATTTGAGCTGGACTATATTAGTCTACAATGCCATATGTTGTTGTTTATTCATTCAGTCGCTTCCGACTCTTCGTGACCTCATGGACCAGCCCATGCCAGAGATCCCTGTCAGCCATCACCACCCCCAGCTCCTTCAGAGTCAAGCCAGTCACTTCAAGGTTGCCATCCATCCATCTTTCCCTTGTTCAGCTCCCCTTCCTTTTTCCTTCCATTTTCCCCAGCATCATTGTCTTCTCCAAGCTTTCCTTTCTTCTCATTATGTGGCCAAAGTACTTCATCTTTGTCTCTAATATCCTTCCCTCCAATGAGCAGTCAGGCTTTTTTTCCCTAGAGTATGCACTCATTGGATCTTCTTGCGGTCCAAGGCACTCTCAGTATTTTCTTCCAGTACTACAGATCAAAAGTGTCTCTCTTCCTTTGCTCAGCCTTCCTTATGGTCCAGCTCTCGCATCCATAGGTTACTATGGGGAATACCATTGGTTTAACTATGTGGATCTTCTTTGCCAGTGTGATGTCTATACTCATCACTATTTTATCAAGATTGGTCATTGCTCTCCTCCCAAGAAGGAAACGTCTTCTGATTTCCGGGCTGCAGTCTCTGTCTGCGTCTGCAGTAATCTTTGTGCAGCACGGGAGGGAGGGAGGACAGCAACCTGTTTTTTTTTTAATATATGTTTTTATGTTTTTAATTTTGTTTTTATTACCAACACAGGTAGAATGATATCACAATCACAGCAACCTGTTTAAAAATGCATTACTGTTCCCAGAGAGCTCCAGAAAACACAGTTCACCTTTTGGGGAGAGAAAATAAAAGGCCAGTCTGGGAAATCCAAAAGGATCAAACATTCCCATTGCTTATTCTAAAAGTTTGCTTTATGAGCAAAGAGAAACAAAATAAACAGATTTTAATAGAGAAACTGTGTGTAAGAATGCAGTTATTACTTAGAACACTTTGATAGGCTGTCTGTTGTCAAAATAGGTGGTAGAGGAGAGACAAAGAGGACCTGCAATCATCTCTGAAGAAATCAGTTTTCATCACAGTTGAAGACAGTACATTGGTGAACAATAGTGGAAATACTCAAGTCACTCATATATTGGCTCTTTGCTGCCTCCTGTCGGCCTCCTCAGTTCTTTGTCCACTTCTAGAATCTTTCAAGTCGGGTTTTCAACCCTTCCGTCAATCTT